AATATTGAGGCAAAACTCCTTTGGAAGTATCCCATTCCTAGAACTGCCATGTCCAAATGCCTATAAGGGACTGTGGCACTTACAGGAATGAGATACATGGAGGATTAAGCAAGATGTTAGGCCTAATAGAAGTTAGATGTCAGAGACAGTAGAAGGCTTGTCTAACTAAGCTTGTGGAGCTGTATACCAAGTTTGCAAAATCTCAGGTTAGTTTAATATCTGGAAATTCAGACAGTTCAATTCATAAAATTAATGGAAAAAGAAACAATCATACAAATATCTCAACACATGACAATAATATAGAAAGAGAGGCAAAGATGGAGATAGAACTAGTGATAGAAATGAGAAATGATATAATGTACAGCTACTGAAACACTACATTTTATGAAATTGGAGAGAAGAAGACACGTAAATTCTTTTGCAGGTCTTACACTTTTCTCTTCAAAATATTTCAACATAAATTATACAAAATATTTAAAAGGGAAAATACAAAAGCTAATGTGTACTAGCCAGTTCTGTCTAAATTGCTCATATAAAAATGCTTTCACATGACTCTGCCAGTCTTATTATTTACATCTGACTTGGCTAGGCCATCATCTTTATACATTATAGTTTTAAATGATGAATTGCATACCAAAATAGCACTATTGCCATATGTATGTACATATAAATGAATATATATATATATATATATATATATATACATAAAATTGTAATTTTTACATAGCACTGTACTTCTGTTTGATTGCAATTAGTTTCTTCCACATCACATTATTGTGATTTTGTGATTGCTCCACTATAGTTCAAAGAAAATGAGTGGAGCAAACCAGCCATGCCTCCTTACTGCTGATTCCTGCTGTCAATCTTGTGCAAAAAGTCCACAACAGAGATCCCTTGCCACTATCTCTGCACATGGGAATTAGGGCTTCCTTATTTTATCACTGATTCTTTTTGTATTTGTGTGCCCAACTTTTCCTTAGAAATCATGTCACCTTTTCTCACTAATTCCAAATCTGCTTCAACCCCTGCTCATACAGGAAACAGTGGGAAAATGGAAATTAATCTGAGGAAATAACATTCAAGTAACAAGACATAAAGAAACAGAAAAGTCAAATAGCAGATAGCAATTAAAGACAATAGTTCTGTCATTTAAAATTACATGCAAAGGAAACTATATTCAGATGTCTTCACTACAGAATTCTTTAGAAAACTGAATAAAAAAGTACTACCAATCATACCAGAACTCATCAACATAATTGGAAAAGGGCAAAACATACTAAAAAATAAAATAAAATTTTAACAAGGAAATTACAAGACAGGGAGTACATTCTGTTAATATAGTTATAAAATCTTAAACTATGTATTATCAACCAAGCCTTAAAAGCTACATTCCAATTTTGTAAAATTCCAGATTGGCTTAATGCATAGACATTCAGTCAGTGCAATCATAGCATTAATAAAAAAGGAAAAAAAAATATGTGAACTTCTCAATAGATTAAAACAAAACATGAGAAAGGCAGTATCCATTTGTCAACTTTTTGACATATAAAAATCATACATATTAATGAAGTACATATTAATGAAGTATATTGTGATATGTCAATGGATACATATAACATGCAATAATCAAATCAGGGTCATTAGCATTCCCTTCACTCTGCTGTTTTTTTTTTTATATATTTGGAAATTTCAAGCTTCTTTCTTGGAAAGTCTAAACTGGGAGTTGGAAAAGGCTTTGTTTAAAATTTTCTTTGGGCTCAGTGTAATACTTCATACATTAGTTTGCTGGGCATGGAGTCAGGAGGAAGGAAGAAGATGTGTGGGTGAGGATTAATATGGTTATCAATTCATAATATATATAATATTATRTATTGTATATAATGTTGTTATCATTATTATCAATTCATAATATATATAATAGTTTATTTTAAACTATAATCACCCTTTGCTGTATGGAAAACCAGAATTTGTTCCTTCTGTGTTGTTGAACCCTATTTCTATTCTACCTCCATTTCCTCTCTTCCTCCCCACTCTCCTTTTCAGCCTCTAGTAATCAATAGTCTACATTCAGATACACACCCACCTCTTTTATTAAAACTTCTATACGTGAGAAAACATGCAGTATTTGTCTTTCTTGGTCTGGCTTCTTTCACATCACCTAATGTCTCCCATTCCCATCCGCTTTGTTGGAAATGACAGAACTTTATTATTTTTATAGCTGAATAATCTTCCATCATGTTTGTATATGTACCATATTTTTTAATCCACTCATATCTCAATGGCTCTCTAGGTTGATTACCTATCTTAAATATTGTGAATAATGCTGCAATAAACTTGGGAATGCAAGTATTTCTTTGGTATGCTGATCCCATTTCCTCTGGATACATATCCAACAATGAGATAGCTGGATTATGTGTCAGGTCTATTTTTAGTTGTTTGAAGAACATCCATTCTTATTCTCCATAAAGGCTAAAATAATTTACATTCCATCCATTCTCTCAACAACCTCACCAGTATTTGTTTAGTTGTGGGGTTTTTTCTTTTTGTTTTTCTTGTTGTTGTTTTTTGTTTGTTTTAATAGCAGTTACTATAGCTGGGGTACAATGATATCATTGTGGTTTTGATTTTCAATTTTCAGATGGCCAATGATATTGAGAACCTTTTCATGTCTCTGTTGTCCATTGTATTTCTCTTTTTTAGCAATGTCTGTTTGAACCATTTGCCTATTTTTAATTGGATTATTATTTTTTATTCAGTTTTTCTAGTTCCTTATATATGCTAGATGTTAATCCTTTGACAGGTGAATAATTTCCATGTATTTTTTTTCCATTCTGTAGGATTCTTCATTTCGTTGATTATTTTCTTTCAAGGGAATACATTCTTTGTTTGATATAATTCTAGTTATCTGTTCTTGCTTCTCTTTATTAATTTGGGCTCATTTGTGATTTTTTTAAATCAGTTAAGTAGAACTAGAAAATAATCTCCTCACTTCAATAAGTGGTACCTATATAAAATTTATAGTTTTTACATCACACTTATGTTAAAGATCAAGGATGTTCTTAGTCAAGAAAAAGATAAGCATGACTACAAGTCAACTTTCATTCATTTTGTACCACAAGTCCTAGTAAACAAAAACATAAATAAATGCCAACATCAATATATAGCAAGAATAATAGGAATGAAATACAGACATGACAGTATTAATAATTATATTATCTATGTGGTAAATAGGTAGTCCTGGTTCAAAAATAAGTACTTAGACCATCAGAAAGAAGAGAGATTTTATAAGCAGATTCAGACATATGTGGCAATCATATTTATACTACAAAGCTATCAATCCAGTACTGAAGATGAAAATATTGATTCAACAACAATTAAAGTTGGATTACTTMGATAAACATATAAGAAAGACTTCACTAATAACCAATCAAGATAAATGCTGCTATGAATTTGTTAATGTGAAGTGAGAGATGATATCTTCTAAAGGATATAAAGAGTACTAGTTTTGAAAGAATATATTATGAAATTGGATTTCCTCAAAATTAAGGATTTTTGTTTCTGAAAAACTAAAAAGCCACTAATGGGGAGAAGATATCTAGAATGTACATCTAAAAATGGTTTGTAGCAAAAATAAATAAATACATCTACAAATCACTGGAAAWAAAGAAAGAAAACACAGATTCAAAATGACCAGAAACTTGCACAAGGGTTTTACAACAAATGAAACAAGCTACAGTCAACCTTTTTTTAAAGTAAGGAAACGCAAATTATAGCCACAAAGAAGCAGGATTGCATACCTCTTAGAATCACTAATGTTAGAAACTGAAAACACCAAGAAATTTTGAGAAGTATCAGAGCCTCGATCTTGCCAACATTCCTTTTGGGCTTGTCATTGTTATAATACCAGTGGCAACTCTGTTTTTAGGTCAGCACCGAAAAATGCTAAGTATACACACAGTAAAACTCAGAAATTCATCCTAAAGAAATCTTCCCTTTGTGAAGTCCAGTTTTCTTTTTCCTTCCACATAAACATTAATTCACAAACAAACTCTAACACTGCCTTTTGAGAAATTGAAGCTATTTTCAGAAAACAAGTCAACATATACAGAATAGGAAAATAGATTATATGCTTTATGTTATATCAGGTAATTTGGACACATTGTTTTAATTAAATAAATGTGGACAAAATAGACAATAAATATAGACAAACAGCTAGACATAATGGTGCAGGCCTGTAATCCCAGTTGAGACAGGAAGATMAAAAGTTCAAGGCCAGCCTCAGCAATTTGGTGAAGCCCTAAACAACTTAGTGATACCCTGTCCAAAATTTAAAAATTAAAAGTACCAGAGACATGGCACAGTGATAAATTGCCCCTGGGTAAAATTTCTAGTAACCCCTCTCACTGACTAAAAAAATAATAATAATAGGAAAACAAARGACTATAAAAACACATGTAGAAGTCTTTCTGACATAAAACCAAAGTGAACTTTATAATGGGGATGTCACTTTGTCTGGTGAAGCAGAGACTCAAGATGACATCCAGTGCTTCCAATGTCTTCAAAATCACAATCATGTCCTTCTTCCTGGTGGAAGCTTGCTTGTAAGTCACTTCTGGAAATGTAATACTTGGGCTCGAATTCTTCATGCTACTTGAGAATAGGGATAGAATGATAAACTGAGAATGGAACTGAAGTTAATCACACAGAGTAATTGTTTTTCAAAATAAATGGGGAATGTCTTATAGAATCATGTCATTTAAATTTGAAATGCTTGGTATTATAGCAAAGTAATTTTACTTATGAAGGACTCTCTTTTCCTAACTAAACAAAAAATTCAGTAATTTTTCTTACGGGAACTATTTAAATTATGTGACAGCCAACACTGTGGTTTACCCCACCCATTCCTGACTGTGTATAAAAGGTTCTGTGCCTAAGGAAGATGACATTTCAAGCAAGAAGACTAATTCTCTATTCTTCTATTGAACTCCCACTCTGACACCATGTGCTACTACAGCAACTACTATGGCGGCCTGGGCTGTGGCTATGCTGGTCTGGGCTATGGCTATGGTGGCCTGGGCTATGGCTGTGGCTATGGCTGGGGCAGATATAGATATGGCTGTTGTCGCCCATCTTATTGGTCATATGGATTCTACTGAGAAACTTCCAGAACCACTCAGTCAGTAGAACTCTTCCTCCTATGCTTCCTCACTATCTTTCCAAGATTCTTTTAATAGATTAATTTATTTCTCTTTCCCAAGCATAAAATTATTATCTTAGACGATTCCACCTTCTGAAGGAGCATTTCAGATTCAGCTTGCTTCAACCTGAACAACCAAAGTTGCATGTAACATCTCCCCATTTGTAAAAATGTTCATATTTGATATTGCTGTTTTGTCACTTATTTAGCTTCCGCAGTCTGGCTGGGCACAAAATCATCGAGCCACCACAAAGCCTTGTAGATTCAAACAGCAACTCTTTATTCCAGAGCTCTCACCCACACTCTACACACACTTCCCGGGAACACCTTGCCTCTACCGGGTCCACGCGCCAATTCTCCCAGAACCCTGGGAGAACTCAACAGGGAACTCCAAAGGAGCAGGTGCCTGAGTCAGCAGGATACACCCTAATCCCAGCAGGATCCACCCTAAACCCTAGAGCCACCCTGATCCCTGAGCAGGGTCACCTTTCAACCCAAAATGCCATGCATCATTCCTACTTGGCTATGGCTCTCAGCATTTAGCCTACCAGATTATATGTGAAAAATATGTTTTCTTTTCAATAAATTTTGTCTTTCACTGCAAAATTCTCTGTGTTTATATTCATTATTTTTCTCTCATTTGTGTTTGCATGATGGAGTGAGCATAGTTCACTTAAGAACTTGTGGACTAAACCAGGATCTTTATTGACGTACATTGCCACATCTAGAGAGTCTGGATGGTCAGAGGTTAATATTATGTCAGATTGTATTGTGCACCAGTTTAAGAGAGAATACTCCACTCAGCAGGAGTGTAAGGTGCAGGGCTCAGGTTTTACTATCCTTTGTTCAACTCTAAGAAGAGTGATCATGTATGATATATGTAGATCACTCTATTTGGCCAGATCATCTTCATATAAAATTATAGTGCTGAGCAAGATTAGTTTTACAATATTTTTAACAATATTGTTATCAATTCACACATGCACATACAGAAATCAAACTGCGTGAGGGATGTTCTATGTGTGCCCTCTACTGAGCAAGTCTTCTCACAATTTGAATTCTTATTGCACTCTCCATGATCCTCACCCACACATCTTCTTCCTTCCTCCTGACTCCATGTCCAGCAAACTAATATATGAAGTGTTACACTGAACCCAAAGAAAATTTTAAGCAAAGCCTTTTCCAACTCCCAGTTTAGACTTTCCATGAACACACATTTTTTTCTATCTGCACCTATGTTCTTATCCAAAGGAGAGGAGGATGAAAAGTGTCTCATTCCTTCCACTGCTGTGCAAAAATAATCTGGATTAGCCAGATGTAGTGCTACATGTCTGTAATCCCAAAATCTGCAGAGGATGAGACAGGAGGATCACAAGTTGGAGGTCAACCTCAGCAACTTAGCAAGACCTTTAGCAATTTAATGAGACTTCAACTCAAATTTAAAATAAGTAAATAAATAAAAACAAAAAAGGACTGGTGATATAGCTTATTTATATAGAGACAATCCCCAGTACCTGTGTATGTGTGTATGTGTGTGTTTGTATATTTTTTAATATATATATATATATATATATATATATTCTGCATCTAGTTCAGGCAATCATAGACAACAGGTGACTTCAATGAATGAGGCATAATTGTGTTTGGAGGAGCCACAATCCTACAATTAGTACATCAAAAACATAAACATACCTGTATGCTACCTGCCTTGTGGACAGAGACATTTATAGCATTGTGATACAGACATATGTAAGTCAGGTGGTAAAGGTGGTAGAAGAAAAAAAGAAAGAAAGGAGAGAGAGAGAAACAAGGAGACAAAGATGGGAAGCAGAGCAATGTTTTAAATGTAGATATACTGAAATGTTAACATTGAGGAATGTGAGGACAGAACAGAAAATCACTGTACTGGTCTTGGATTTTTCTCTTTGAAATATGCAACCATTTTAACCAAAAATAGCTAAAGACTTTTTTGAGGCTGAGACAGGAGGATCATGAGTTCAAAGCCAGCCTCAGCAATGGCGAGGCACTAAGCAACTTAGTGAGACCCTGTCTCTAAATAAAATACAAAATAGGGCTGGGGATGTGGCTCAGTGGTCGAGCTCCCCTGAGTTCAATCCCTGGTACATCCCACTCCCCCTCAAAAAAAAAAGTCGAAGTCTAACATCTGTTCACTAGTTTTTTTCTAAACTTCTCATAAAAAATCATTCAATGTGATTCTGAGTCTCTTCTATTGTATGAATCTGACCTTGCTACATTTTTATCCTCTTGTACTAAGGTTTTATAAACAATCTGTTGCCTACTAAAGCTGTACTATTTCCATATGTATACCATTGGCAATTTCCTGGTGACATTGCTCCTGTGTGATTGTACTTCACTCCTTCCCCATCACATTCTTCTGATTGCTTCCCTACAGTTTAAGGAAGAGGACAGGAAAAAAAAAAAAAAAAAAAAACTTGCTGTGCATCCTCTTTGCTGACCCAGTGGTTCAGTCTGTCAATGTTGTGGAAATGTTCTCCAGAACCAGCCTTGGTCACCTTCTCTGTGCACCTGGGCCAGAGCTTCCCTCCTACAACCCTGATTCTTATACTTGTGGTTCTAGATTTAAATTTTCCTTTGGAATCACAATGCTTTCTGTTGCCACTGATTCCAGATTTCCTTTCCCCTCTCTTCACACAAGGAACAAAAATGGAATTTCACCTGAGGAARTATCTTTTTAATATCCAGAAGTCAKGAAATTGAAATATCCTGATATCTGTTCAAGAAAATGAACCTGTCCTTAAAAATTTTACATAAAGGGAGTTCCCAGTATAGATGTGGCACTAAGAAATTTCTTAAGCCACTTGAAAAAAAAAGCACTCCCAATCACAAAAATGCAATTCCACAGAAAGGGAAAGTGACAAAACTAATAAGAAAATCAAAATCTAGTAAGGACATTTCAAAAAARGGAAGGTATTTTGTGAATACCTTAAAAATCTGAAATAATATACCATCAATCCAAATCTCTTGAACAATACCACAAGTTTGCAAAATCCCAGATTGGTGTAACATCTGGAAACTCAGTCAGTCCAACTTACTATATTAACAACAACAAAAAAAGAAAGTTTCAGGACTATCTCAATAGAGTAAGATAAAATATAATATTTCATAGTTATTCATGAATTTTTAAAAAATTTGTAATGAAGGACTAGGAAATAACTTCCCTGATTTGAAAAATGGTATTTGCATAAAATCTGCAGCTTCTGTATCATATTTAATGCTAAAATACAAGAAAATTACTCCCTGAGTTAGAAACAAGCATGGTTATTATCACAACATTCATTCAACTTTGTACCACAGGTCTTAGCTCACTATCTAATAATTAGCTCACAAATTAATAATTAATTAATTAAAGAAAAGGAGACCAGAAAAGAGAATACAGACTTGCCATTATTAACAAATCCCAAATCATGAAAAAGTGCTCTTTTTTCATGAGTAAGTACATCAACCAACAGAAAGAGGAGGAATTCTATAGATAGGTTCAATTATATAGAGAAACCAGACTTATACTACTAAAATAATTATTGCATAAGAGAAGATAAAAAGATTGACTTAACAATAAATACTGCTAGATTCGATAGCCATATAAAGAAGTAAATCTGGACTTAATATATTGCACCAAGATTGACAATAAACGGTATTAGATTAATTGGATAAAAACATAAACAAAATCAATTTTGTCACATCATGCACCAAAATATAAGATTTTCTTATTAATGGAAGTGGACGACAATTTCTTAAATAGGTATAAAGAGTCATGCCCATAAAAACTGATAAATAGGATTTCCTTAAGAGTTTAGTTTTTCACAGAGTTTAAAACTTCACAACATGGAAAGGCTATTTATAATACAAGTATTTGTACCAAAATTAGATAAAAATGCCTACAAAGCATTAGAGAAAGATACAAAACACAATTAAAAGTGGACAAAAACTTCAACAATCATTTCACAGCAAACAGAAACAGAAGGTGGCCAGGCTCATTAGAGCAAGAAAATGCAAATTATAATCACAATGAAATAGCACTACATACCCATCAGAAAGGCTAAAATTAGCGACTGAAAATATCAAGTAATTTTGAGAAGGCTCAGACCTGGACCTTGGCAGAATTCCTGGGGGCATGTGATTGACACAAGTCCTATTAAACTTACGTCAGCACCTAAAAATGCTAAAAATGAATGCACCCCAAAACTCAGAAAATCCATTCTAAAGAAATGATCACTTGGTCCGGTCCAGTTTGTAATTTTATGTAAACATAAAATTCTTAGCTGCCACTTGAGATACTGAAGRTATTTGTGGAAAATGGCAAAGACAAACCAACTAAAAAGATCTTGGAGAAACTACTGTATGCCTGATGTCACATTAAAATAATCAGGACCCAATATTTTAAATAATAAATATAAGTTAACACAACAAAATAAGGGAAAAAATGTCTTTAAAACACATGACTTGAAGGAGGTTATTCTGAATAAAAAAAAAAAAAACAGAGTAAGCTTGGTAATTAGGCCTTCACTATTTGTTTGAAGTGAAGGCATCATAGGACTTCTCATGCTTTAAATATTTTTGAAATATCATGCAAGTTTGTCTTGATGGAATTTCATGCAGAAAGTTCTTCAGAAAGTCACATGGGAAATTGTAGTTCATAGGTTTGGATATCTAATGTTATTTGGTATAAAAAAGAGGATTATAAACTGATAATCAACCTAAAAGTCATTATACACAGAGTATTTCCTTATGCAATGGAAGAAAAAGATTTTATTTTATTGAATAAAAATTACGCAACTTAACTCTGAGATACTCAATATAATAGCAAAGCAATCTTACATGTGAGGAACTCTCCAAAGTAAACCAAAGACTCAGCAAATTCTTCTAGTGGATATTATGCTAAATTATGGAGCCAGCAATGCCTGTGGTTTGACCTACCTACCTCTGGGTTTGTATAAAAGGCTCCATGGCTCGGGGAGAAGACATTTCAGCCAAGAAGAATAATTCTCTATTCCTCAACTGAAATCCCATTCCTGACACCATGTGCTACTACAGCAACTACTACGGAAACCTGGGCTATGGCTATGGTGGCCTGGGCTATGGCTGGGGTGGATATGGATTTGGCTGCTGCCGTCCATCCTGCTGTGGCAGATACTGGTCCTATGGATTCTATTAAGATACTTCTGGAACCACTTATCCAGTAGAAGTCTTCCTTGTATAGTTTCTGAATATCCTTCATTTGTTCTTCTTAAATGTTATTTGTTTCCTAACAGTGAAAAATTTTATCCTAATCATCAGTTTAAATACTTCAGTTTCAGCATGCTTCAAGTTGACAGCAAAGTCCCATAGAATGCTTCAAAATTCATAATTATTATCGATACTGTATTACTTCTCATTAATTATAGCTTAACATGATCTGAATAATTGATGTGAATAACTTTTGTGTCTTTTTCAATAAACTTTTCTGTCATTACAAAAGATTTTCATTCATATTTATTTTCCTCTGTCATTTATGTGTTATATTATGTAGTGTATTTCACTTGGGAGTAGTTGAATGAAACTGGCATCTTCCCACAAATACATGCACACATTTAGAGCATCTGGATGGTGAGATGATTGTATAAAATGGTATCATGGTTCACATAATGGGGTAACTGCATTCACCAGAAGTGTAAAGTGCAAGGCTCACATAAATCTATCTTCCATTCAGCCTTTCCATCACTGTGTGAAAATTGAGACTATGATGGATATAGATCACTGTATTTGATCAATACTCCTTCAGTTAAAACTAGATTAATGAATTCAATTGCTTATCAGTACTTGCTAAAGGTTAAGTAGTGTACATACATAAACAGATGTCTTGTGGGATGCTTTGCTCGTATCTCTTCACAGGCAGACTTCATATGGTGCAACTTCTTYCTGCACCACTCATCTTGCCTACCAAGAATCTTGCTCTCTCTAGCTGACTGAATGGGAAATCACACGTAAAATATTTCCTTTGATCTTGAAGAAAACATTAAGCAGGGCCTCCTCTAACTGCTGAATTAGACTTCCATGAGTACAAATGTATCTCTATCCACACAATGAGCCTCTGCTTTCTTCGAGAGCAAAGGAACATGAAAAATGGCTCCTGGCTCTCTGCTCCTGCTGGGATACATCCACAGCAAGCCCAGGGCATCCTGAAGGTAAAGGATTACCTCCAACGAATGAGGCAGCATCTTGTTTAGAGCAGCCCTGGTACTATATCTTTGTTGTCAAATTTCCACCTCAGGGACTGTGACATTTATGGGATTGGGATACATGGACACATAAGTCACATATGTTAATTACAAAGAAGGGGCAGGAAGGGGTTCATATAGAGATATGATAGAAATAGACACAGAGATGAGAACCAGAAGTAAAATGCAATTGTAGATGTACTGAAATGTTAAACTGGGTAAAGCCAGTGAACAAGGCAACTTTATTTTTTACTAGTCTTAAAGTTCACTTTTTGACATATTTTAACATACAGTATTCGAATATTTTAAAGATGAAAGCAAATGTCTGATCTCAAGCAAATGTCCAAACTTCTCATGTAAAATACTTTATGTGACTCTGAGTCTCATTGTCTCCATCCAATCTGTTTATGTTCTCATCCTTATATATTAAGGATTTAAATACTCTATTGCCTAAAAGCAGCACTATTCACATTTATCCACACCTGTGGTAGTTTCCTGTGACACTGCAGTCCTTTGTGATTACAATTGTCCTTCCTCATCMCATTCTCCTCATTGCTCATTTAAAGTTCAAGAAAAAAAAGGAGAAAGTCTCCATGCCTCCTGGTTGCTGATTGACAGCTGGGTCTGTCCATATTGCACATAAAGTTTTCCAGAAAAGAGTGCTTGTCACCATCTCTTTATACCTGGATCAGAATTTTCCTCTTACAACAGATTCTTGTATTTGTGGGTCCAGTTTCCAATTTTTCTTTTTTTTTCCATTGATTTTTTTTTAATCTTCTCTCCCAACTCATGTAAAGAACATCAGGAAATCTGAATTTCAGCTGAGGAAATTCTAATAGGAAGTCCAAATAGTCTGACACCCATTAATGAAAACAAATCAGAATTGAATATATTAATGCAAATAAATTCTTTACCTATAATAAAGTATCATCCATCACAAAAATATTCTTCCACAGAATAGGAATAGGGCAAAGCTTTCTAAGAAAATCAAAACCTAACCAGGACCTTATATGAAAGGGAATATGYACTATGATCATACCTTCAAATATCTGAAACAATATATCATCAGACTGAGTCCCAAGAGCTCTATTCCAAGATTGAAAAATTCTAGATTGGTTAAATACCTTAAAAGTCAGTCAGTACAATTCATCACATTCATGAAAAAAGAATGGAAGCTATATGAATATCTCAAAAGATGAAGATAAAGCATGATAAAATTGAACTCCCATTCATGAATTTTAAAATATCCCAGTAAAGTACGACTAGAAAATAGCCTCTTCAATTTGATAAATGGCATTTTCACGACCTCTACAGCTTGTATATCACACTTAGTTCTTAAGTATGAAATAATTTTTTCCCCAGGCTCAGGAATAAGACAAGGATGACTTGTCTTCATAATCGTTATTTAGCTGTACAACAGTTCTTAGTGACTGAAATCAACCGCTGGAACAAAACTGGAGAAAAAAATGCAGACTTGATATTACTAATGGCATAATTGTGTACTAGTGAAGTAGAGTGGGTTCTGTTTCAAGAATAAGCACATAGACGAAAGGAGAGCGGAGGAGTTCAATAAACAGACACAAACGTATAGGGTAACCATATTTATTGCTAAGATACCACTGCAGAGCAGAAGACAGAAGGATTGACTTAACAATGAGTAATGTTAGTTAATTTAATAACCATGTAAAGAAAATAAATCTTGACTTAGACCTTTCACCAAAATAAGATGCAGGAATATCTTTATTAATTTAAAGTAAGTGATAGTTTCTGAAGCAACATATAAAGGGCACTGGCCAGAAAAGGAAATTCTAACCAATTAGACTTTATCAAAATAAAAAAAAATCTTATTTTTAAATGTTAATAATTGATACACAAAAATTATATGTTTATGGGGAATCACATCATGTTTCCTAATTATACAATGTGTAATGAAAAATCCATTCAACTTTTCAAAAGTTTATTATTTATTTGTGATGAAATCTTTCAAAATCCTTGAAGCAGAAATTATTTCTCTTAAGTGTAACATAATACTCATTATTAAGAAAGTAAATAAGRCCACTGAAAAGGAGATACCTACAGTATATATCAAGATAAGCATTTTGACAAAAAATAAATATAAATAATTCCATCCTTTTAGAGAAACAAAATGTGCTTTAAAATGACCAAAAATTTGCACAAACATTTTACAACAACGAATAATAAAAGATAACCAATCTTGTTAGAGCAACATAGTACTAGTTACACCCACAGAAGGGCTAGAGTTAGAGACTATGAATACCAAACAATTTTGAGCACACTCAGACCTGGGCCTTGCTAACATTCCTGGGGGGCATAGGATTGGCACAAGCTTAGTGGACAAAATATGTCAGCACCTAAAAATGCTAAAACTGAATGCACTCCAAAACCCAGAAATTCTACTTTAAAGGAAGGAACACTTGGTTTTGGTCCAGTTTTCCCACAATTTTCATGTCCTTACAAAATTCACATATTAGATTCTTACACAACCTCTTGAGAAACTGAAGTTATTTTGGCAAACAAACAATCCCACACACCAAATGTTAGAGGAGATACTGTACGACTGATGTAATATCAAGGCATCAAGACATATTAAGTATGGGTTAACAAGACAAAAAACAACAACAAAAGCAAAAAAAAATGCAGGGAAAGAAAAATCTCTAAAACCCGTGATTTTATGGAGGTCATTGTGACACAAAACAGAAACAACCTTAGTAATGACACCTTCATTCTGTTGAGTGAAACAGGCACATGAARCCCTGCAGTATTTCTAATATCTTTTCAGTCTCATTTAAGTCTGTCTTATTGGTAGAATATTGTCTGAAATCTTTTTTTTGTGTGTGTGAATTACATCGGCACATATAGTCACTTTGCTTGTACACCTAGTGTTACTTAGAAATGGAAACATAATGGTAAACTAATAATCAATCTTAAACTAATCACATGAGAAGAGAGATTCTCTTTTTAAAAGAGAATTAAAACATTTTATTAAATCATGCCATTTAATTTTTGGACACTTGAGAGAAAAGCAATCCTACTTATGAGAAAATTTCCTTTCCTAGGTAAATAAAAGATTCAGATAATTTTCTCACAAAAGTTATGCTAAATTAAGACACCAGCATGTCCTGGGGTTTGCCTTACCACCCAGCTGTGTAAAAAAGCCCCATGCCTGTGGATGGTGACATTTAAATTAAGAATTCTTTGTTCTTCAACTGCACCTTCTGCTCCTGACACCATCTGCTATGACTACACCTACGATGGCAGCCTGGGTTATGGCCGTAGCTATGGCTGGAGTATGGATATGGCCGCTGCCGTCCATCTTTCTGTGATAGATACTGATCCTGCGTAGTAGATCCTGTGGATTCTACTGAGAAACTTCTGGAGACATTCAGCCAGTAGGACTCTTCCTCCTACACTTCCTGATTGTCCTTCCATTAGTAATCCTCCTTATTAGTAATTTACTTCCCTTTCCCAGTAGTGAAGGTCTTATCCTAGACTGTTTCACCTTCTGATGGAATACTTTAGATTCAATTCACTTCACTCTGATCAACCAAAGTCACATTTAATTAATACCTCTCCATTCACAAAAGTGGTTTTGATTGTTATAATAACAATCACAACTCATGGTGGCTTCACAATTTGGATGTGAAACGTGTTTGTCAATAAATGTCTTTTATTGCAAAATATTTGCATTTACATTCATTACTCTCTCTCACTTATRTGTGAATGTTGGGGTCCTTGTTTCATTTAAGTGTCCAGGGGAGAAACCAGTACTTTTTTTGTGATATTTTCTTTTGAGACAGGGTCTTAATAAGTTGCTTAGTAAGATGCCTCCCTAAGTTGCTAAAGCTGACTTTGAACTTGCAATCCTCTTGCCTCAGCCTCCAAATCCACTTGCATTACAGGCATGCACCATCATATCCAGCCAAAACCATAATCTCTA